GGAACACACACAGTTTATGATAGACAGGACATGGGGGGAATGATGAAGTGGCAAACGGGATTGCCAAACAGGTGCACAGTCGGGTGTTGAAGTACTGGTCCGGCTCCCTTCCTAGCTGAACCACCCTTCCATTGCTTCGGGGCAGCGGAATTGGTACCATACTCGTGTGGGTAGAGAGAAGCACTGGTTACTATGCTAACTGGTCTCCGCCAATCAATGTACAAGCCTCTGCAATCGCATCCAGAAAGTCACCACGACTCTAACTGGATCACCCATATCCCAAAAATTGGTCTAGGTGATCGCATTTGATGCCTATACCTCGCTTGGAATAGTTAGGTAGCAACGGGAACGTGAAAGCATTTCTTCGTGAGTACTTGTCCCCGATTAGCCCTTTTTGCATGATTCACCCGGCAGACACTGTCTCTTCCTTGAAGCCATCAGGTTCATGCAAATGATTGCCTGACCTCTTATACAGTCACATGATATTTGAGCCACGTACTCTCTTTCCATTCCAGCTCTTGTATGAGCAGTATGTTGCACTGTGGTTTCTGCGGCGTGTCAGGCTCAGTTTGGCGCAGCGCCTGCATGTTTTCCACCAACTGTTCGTTTTAGCAAATGGTGGAGGACGAGCTGGCCGCCCGCGCGGTCAAACGCCGTGCCCGCCTGGGTGGATCAGGCGTCAGCAACGAAGAAGTAAAGCATCCTCTTTCAAAGGCTTGCGCCATTGATAATTTGATCTCGGTCATTGAATGCATTAGCTCGGCAAAAGCGCCTACATAGTGAAAAAAAACCTTATAAAAATAAAGTGAATTGGCTTAAAAACCCGCCAAGAAAAGCCTCGTTGTCATGGACTCAGCAAAGCCAATTTTGGAAGTGTTTATCGTGCCAATACACGCTACTGTAGACAGGAGTGCCGCTTACTGTAGACACGGGTGCACTTATGTACTCATTCGTCCATGAAGCTCTTCGGCCATTTCTTATCTCCCTTCGCTTCATATTTTACTTCGCAAATGAAGTGATACGAGCATCGGGCACGGTCGTCCATTTGTGGAAGGGCGGGTGCGGTGGGCGTCCGGCTCGGGATGTTGCAGCTTGGTAGGACCTTATAAGAGTACCTTCTTTGGAAAAGGCGCTGCTCAGGGGCGAGTTCCGTTCTTCCAGGCGTATTAATCCTACAAGCTTTAGGGACTTATCGTGCGAAGTGCCATCGATGTGTCCACGTTTGGCCACTACAATGACGTCCGGAGACCAGCCCCTTTCCAGGACATTTTTTCCAACGAGGCTTCAGTATCAGTATTCTCACTTTCGCTTGACGACGACAAGGTATGGAGGACCTGTAGGAGAACCGAGCAGAAATGATCCAGAGTTTTATTGAAGGAGAAGTGTCTGACGCCTCTGTGGTTGAGAATCGTTTGCTACTATCGCATCATTCAATCCTTTGACATACGTCGAACATTGACTGTGGTATTGGGGACGATAGTGCGACAGGCTGAGGAATGGCTCTCACTTCTTATTTCTCTTGTTCCTTACATGGGCCTTCTTTCAAACAAAATACTGATCTCAACAAAGAGGTTTTCAGAAGAAGAGTTTGCCGCAAAGGCACGAAAGTGACGACCCCCGCCTGGATAAATGCAGTAATACTTGAAGCACTGAGAAGTACCAGCCTTGGAGAGAGTCCGGATCGTGTACTCTTTATTTGCCACAGGTTAGCAGGAAAACAAAAGAACTCTGTCTGAGAACACAAGTAAACCTTCATCTAGCTTCCAGATAGGGGATCATTGATCGAAAATAATCCAGCATCAATTTTTCTCAGCCGACAGCTCGTCGGGAAAAACGAAATAAGCGGAACGGCCAGGTGACGTATTTAGTCACGATCCGACCTGTACTTGATGTCGACCAGTCTTTTTGAAGTGGGCGTGACAGATGAAATTAGCAGCGATGAGTTCAGCAGCAGCAGTTTCTCGTCAGTTTGCTGTGATGATCACAGCACGACAGGCCGCCCTTTCGTCTATTGGGCTTTCTCTGATATGCGTCGTTGTGACCGTACTCTACATGCCGCTGTTCATTTCTAAAGTACAGCGTGTGCAGGACCATCTGTCGAAAAATATGGAGGATTTCAATTTAATGGAGGTGAGGAATGTCAAG